GGGTGTTAGTGGGAGGGGAGGGGGTTCGATTCCCCTGAATCCTTACGTCTTCTCGTTGGGGGACTGGACTTTGCAGGAACACAGCAGACAGGAACCTCCACAGATGGCCAGAACAGCGGAGGACCAGCCGATGTACAGACCTTCTCCGATCTCATACCTGCGACACACAGATGGTCAGTCGTAGAACCGAGTCGGTTCTTTAACAACAGTTTTATAAAAAACTTTTCATTCTTAAATTGTTGCTCACAGTCCCTGAACCGATGGATCACTGAGCTGTGACTCACTTGGTTCCTGGATAGTACTGATCGAAGAACTGTTGCGTGATGTTGGCGGCGTACCAGGACACGGCGATCATGGTGCTGAGGCCTAGGACACAGAGAACAGCGTGGACTTTAGACCCGGTGGAACCAGAACTGATCATTTAGCAGTGGGCTGCGGTCTGGTCTGGGCCCAAACCTGTGGCTAAACCTGCGGCTCGCCTCGCTCCAGTTTGTCCAGCTGAGCTTCAACAGGGTTTAATACTCAGAAGAACCTGTGAACAGACTCTGGTCTGTGGTCAACAACTGACAGCATTTTGGTGTATTTTAGTTGAGATTATTGTTTAGCGCCCCCTAACGTCTGGAGCTGACTGTGTCAAGTTGATCAGACACCTGGTTCCGGTCCAGTCTAGGACCATGTGACAGGTTTTAGTCAGGGTCTTCCTGGTGGTGGAGTTGAATGAATGGACCAGGACCAACAGCGCCTCCTGCAGGCAGACCGAGAGGTCTCCACAAAGGAATGAGGCCAGCGTTAGAACAGTTCTACTATTGAAAGGATCCTGAAGAGAACCTCAGTCTCAGAGAACTTTTTGAGTTTCACACCATGTGACCTCTGGTATCAGCTGGTTTGATAACCTCCTGAACCGCCGAAGCTGATTGGCCGATAACCTGTGGTGGGTACACACTCTGAACAAACACCAGTGTTTACTTCTCCCACTTCCTGCTCCGAGCTCTGTTCTCCTCTGGGATTGATCACTGGTGTCACCGTGTGTCTCCCTCTGCTGGTGGTCCGTACCTTGCAGTAAGAAGAACGCTCCTCCAATGGCAGCGACCCGTCCCTTCAGGACGTAGTTCTCTCCTCCGATCTTTGAACACTTTATCCCCACCAGAGTGGCCACCAGGCCGAAGGTCCCGAACACGATGGCCACGATCATCAGGGCTCGGGCGGCCTGAATAAAGCCTGAGTGCAAACACACACACACACACACACACACACACACAGGAAAAGTACAAGATGATTCAGAATCAAACACTCAACATTCTTTCATATGACGTACCATGTTTTCCTCATCACCAAACCAACGATGTCAAACAGATGGAGCAGGGACCCTGTACTGTACATATGTTTGAAATGAAACTGATTGGCTGCGACTTTTTTAAACAGAACCTGATTCCAGTGATGTCATCTGTCAGCTCCATCTTTATCAAGCATTAACTTATAGCATTTATTTTTTTAAGCTAAATGTTTTTTTCTCTCCCTGGACTTAAATCAACAAACTTCATTTTCAACTTCAGCCAATCACAGAGCGAAGGTCCCGCAGTGAAACCCTGACCCTGAGAGTCGGTCGAAGGCCAAACACCTGCAGGCTGACGTCGGTAACAACAGATCACCAGAAAGTCGTCAACATTTGTGGAAAACGTTGATATCAGATCCTTGGAATTAGATTAGAGGACCATAAAACGGTTCCTCCACAGATAGCTGTGAGCAGACGCCATGGAACTCTTTATCAACGGTACTTCCTGCAAGGACATTAAAGCTGTATAAAGCTTTAGAAGCGGCCGTTGTCGTCTGCTCCCTGGTATCTGCTCATTTCTAATGATTTATTGGCGCAGCAGGAACATCAAACGGCAGCAGTGAAGGTTCTGATGTGGAACTTTCCTCCAGTCAGTCCCAGGCGACCACGGTTCTGTTCGACACGTACCGTCCAGAGCCAGCAGAGAGGGAAAGTCCCGGCAGTTGTGGACCCCGGTGGAGTCGGTGGCGCAGGACATCCACAGGTTCTCGTAGATGGTGGAGGTGGTGATGACGTTACCGTCCACCGACGACACCCTCCAGTACCGATTAGGAAGGGCGATCCCGACCATCAGCCAGCCCAGAAAGCCCAGGAAAAAGGCGAGAGCTTCCACTATGGCGTTCATGTTGGTTCCCGGTCCAAAGAACGAAGACTAATCCGACAAAAGACGACGTCTGTACAAACGTTAGCTCTTCAGCGATCGGTCCCTGAACGAACGTGTGGTGTAGTGGAACCCGCAGCCTCGGTGTGCCACACTCAGCCCTGAGTCCAGAGACGGTCAAAAACAAGCCATCAATGATTGCCCAGGGCCACACTGCCCACTCCTGATGCGGCCCATTCTTCTCAGCTCTCTTCAACTTTTCAAAGGCTCCAAATATTGACTGAACCTGAAGGAGAACAGAGAAAGTCCAACGTTCACGGCTCCGTCCAGCGCCAGGACGGCCGCGTCGCCAAACACCACGTCAACCTTATCAGGCTGTGATTGATGGAGTCCTGTGGCCGGGGGGGGTGGTGGGGGTGGATAGCTGAATACTAGGGACAGTCGCGGCAGGTGTGGACCCCGGTGGAGTCGGTGGCGCAGGACATCCACAGGTTCTCGTAGATGGTGGAGGTGGTGATGACGTTACCGTCCACCGACGACACCCTCCAGTACCGATTAGGAAGGGCGATCCCGACCATCAGCCAGCCCAGAAAGCCCAGGAAAAAGGCGAGAGCTTCCACTATGGCGTTCATGTTGGTTCCCGGTCCAAAGAGCGAAGACTAATCCGACAAAAGACGACGTCTGTACAAACGTTAGCTCTTCAGCGATCGGTCCCTGAACGAACGTGTGGTGTAGTGGAACCCGCAGCCTCGGTGTGCCACACTCAGCCCTGAGTCCAGAGACGGTCAAAAACAAGCCATCAATGATTGCCCAGGGCCACACTGCCCACTCCTGATGCGGCCCATTCTTCTCAGCTCTCTTCAACTTTTCAAAGGCTCCAAATATTGACTGAACCTGAAGGAGAACAGAGAAAGTCCAACGTTCACGGCTCCGTCCAGCGCCAGGACGGCCGCGTCGCCAAACACCACGTCAACCTTATCAGGCTGTGATTGATGGAGTCCTGTGGCCGGGGGGGGTGGTGGGGGTGGATAGCTGAATACTGATCAGATCAGAAGTTCTGAGACGACAGTTCGATTCCCAACTTCTCTGCCTCACGTGTCCCCCACTGCCCCCCCCACTGTGTCATTGTTTCGGGGTCTAAAGTGAACGTCATGTGACTTCAGACCTGATTACAGTGATGTTCCTTAGAACCGATCGGTTCTCAGTTCTGCGTCACTGACAGGCAGCTGTTTGTTCAGGATTCTGACTCAGAACCACAGGTTTGACACAGTCACCACTTCACTGCATCACCAGGGTGTGTTCGATGCCTACGGTGATAAATGGAATCTTTTTATACATCAGAACATGAAGTGACTCTGGGGGGCGCCAGAGCATTTCAGTGCAGACAAAGTGAGGAAAAAGAACCGTCTGACGGAGATGAGGAAGAACAGAGGGATTCGTTTGAGAAAACCGAAATAATAATAATTATATAATACTAATATACTAATAATAATAATATTAATAATAACAACAACAACAACAACAATAATAATAATAATAATAACAATAATAATAATAACAATAATAATAATAATAATAACAACAATAATAATAATAACAACAATAATAATAATAATAATAATAACAATAATAATAATAACAACAGTGATAAAGTCTTTTCAGCAGAACCGACCGTTGAACTGACCCTGGAACAGTTCTATTTCTGGACTGACTCTGAAGCCTCACTGACGTCTCACTCCAGAACTTTCTTCTGTGTGGATCCAACAGTAAAGTTCTATCAGTTTGACAGAACTAGAACAAGGTTCTGGTTCTGGTTCTGGTTCTGTACTGATTGACCCACCGGGTCAGAGAATCACAGCAGTTAAAAACCCCAGACATATTTGAATGAAGGTGTGGGTGCGATTCCTGGTTCTAAAGAGCCGTGGTCAAAGTCAGAACCAATCTGTCCATCAATGGTTAACAAGGTTTTACAGGGAAAATCACGCTGACTTTTGAACAAGGTTCTATACATACACACACACACATACACACACACACAGATTTACACATATATAAAGTATATAATGTATTTAATTTACAATTCTGCATTTTCTTAATCTGATTTTTTAAAAATATTTTTGCTTCACAGAACATTTGATTTGTTTCTGTTTAGTTTAAAGTTATTAATAAATATTCATAGGACAAGGATGAAGACGTTCAGGTGTAAATATTAAAAACAGTGTAATCCTAGTCCTAGTCCTAGTCCTAGTCCTAGTCCTAGTCCTAGTCCGGCACAGGTATTTCCTGACTGTCGTGAAGGAAACGACTGATGTCCAGATCTGAAACACTGGCAGTTGTTCCTGATAAAGACACAGAGGAAGGAAACTCTGGAATATGAACTGGAATAACTCAGTGATACGGAGTCAAAGTCTGGGTTTAAGACACGTCTGTCTTTACACAGATCAAATCCAAACAATTGAGTCTGGATTTGATTGGTGTGAGATAATTCACTTTTCATTATTAAATAAATAAACAAATATAATTATTTAATTATTAATAACCATGGTAATAATAATAATAATAATATAGTAGTATGTTGAAAATATAGTTAGTCATATTTACTATAATCAGTATGTACTTCTAAAAACACAGTGAGGTTTAACATGTTATTTATTTTCTTGTACTCCTCATGTACTTTATACTGCAGTTTTTTTTGTTTTTTTTTTTGTTGTCAGAAAGATTATTTGTCGACATGTTGTGTTTAAGAACTAACGGGAAAATCTAGTGGAGTGTAGAAAACATTTCAGAAGTGAATGTTGCCATGACAGTCCCAGTCCAGGACTCTTCCTGGGATATTTATTGCCCCCCCCGAGGACCATCTGAAGCCCGTTAGTCAGGTGACTTACCTGGGAGAGCAAAAAGTGACTGGAATTCCCGGCAGTTGTAGATCCCGGTGGAGTCGCTGGCGCAGGACATCCACAGGTTCTCATAGATGGTGGAGGTCACGATGACGCTGCCGTCCTGGGTGGACTCCTTCCAGTACTGGTCCTGGAGTGACACCATGGTCAATACCCAGCCAACAAAGCCCAGAAACAGGGCTACAACCTCAATGATCCCATCCATCTTCTGAGCGCTGGTCTGAGATGAAGCTGAAGGACTCTCTCCTCTGAGCTCTAATTACAGCTTCTGTATCTCATATACAATTTGGGAGTGTATGAAGAAGTGACTCAGGGCTCCTGCCATCCGCCCCTCCACCCCCCACACCTTCACCCCCGCTCCCCGAGGCTCTCAAAACATTGATTTGTTGGCATTAGAAGTCGACTATTAGGAGTCGACTAATTCCCGCCCAAAATCGATGAAGTTTCATGTTCCTGACAAGAAGCCAAAGAAGTGTTCATGCAGCTGTTCTCTCCCCCCTCCCTCTCTCTCTCCCTCTCTCTCTCTCTCTCTTGATTGACAGCAGAGATAATCACTTGTAAAACAATTATTGCAGCTTTTAAATCATGAGCAACAAGTTGGAGACTGAACTCATTTGGCACCGAGCTGATACTGAGAGAGAGAGAGAGAGAGAGAGAGAGGCAGAGCTGCAGGAGGAGGTCTACAGACTCCTTCATCCCTCTCTGAGGGTCTGCAGTGTCGACTTTCTGTGGGGGGGGGGGGTCTTTTTTTTGTCTTGTCAGCATTTTCTCTTCTGTGAGAGATTGGTAGCCTGTGACCTCAGGTCCCTGATCAAATACTTGGAGGTGAAGCTGTGAATAGAGGGCAGAGCGATCAGAGCGGTGATGAGTGATCAGTCACAGGCTCCGAGTGTTTGTTTTAACCTGGTTAAGTATTAACAAGTGTGCGGTGGGACAAAGGATGCATTGAAAATCTGGGCATTAGTCAACATATATCACTGTAGTGGAGCAGATCTATTGAAGCAGGTTCTATTGAAATGACTGTTGACATTTACAGGCTGTTCACATAAGAGCAGCTGGACAAAGGCCAGCTCCTTCCCTGATACCCAGGCACTTAATTATCTGCCCCATTACATGAAGTGAAGAGTGAGAGTGTAGAAAAGTGCAAGATTCAAGAGTGCAGTGTTTTGTGTCCCTGTTAGAAGGTTGCTATCATCTGCATATAAAGTATACAGAATAACAACAGATTTAATCAAATATTCACGAAAATAAACAAAGTTTGGCCCCAGCCGCACGTCTCTGACTTAATTAGAAGAAACATCAAATGCTAAATTTACAGTCTATATCTTATCAAATGTGAAATGTTTCTAGTAATCAGAGGTACAGTTCAAAGTACTGTCATAATCTTAGCGTATTGTCCAGACTCTCAGGCTTTAAGTCAGTCTGATGTCTGTTAATATTTTATTTCCCGGCCCTTCCCTCAGGCAGCTGAAATATTTATTCATTTGTGTCCGCGTTGACCCGTTGGCTTCAAGGGAAAGTTTGCCTGACGCTAACCCTGGTGTCCTTACGCTACTGCTAAGCAGAGGGACCAGGAAGTGATGCTAACACTGCAGCAGTTCTCACTGACGTTGACTGAATGTTTGGTGTCAATGTCCTGGTGCAGATTAAGTCCAGACGTCAGATAGCGCTAACATTTCTTAACGTTGAGGATAAAAAAAAAAAAACAGAAAGAAAAAGTTCAGAAGAAAGAAAAAGTTCAGAAGAAATTCAGCGTCAAACCTGGACCAGACCGTTACTGTTTCATTGAGGTCGATAGAACCAAAGTTACAAGATAGGATAAGATAAGATAAGATAAGATAAGATAACTTTATTCATCCCATAGCAGGGAAAATCAGTTGTTACAGTAGCAGGATATACATGTAGTACTAAAGGTAAAGGTAACAGCAGGGTAGACATAGTATTTACAAGGTGATACAAACATAAAAACATTCAAACCACTGAGAAGATGACGTTTCTTATCAGCAAAGTACCTCAAGTCTGAAGTACTTTCTCGAATGCAATAATGTATGTTGGCGTGTTCATCTGTGATATGGCTGGTTTCACTGCGGTTCTCCTTTTGTGACCCACCTGGGTACCAAGCCCATTTATGTCGTTTGAGTGTTCACCGTGGTTCATGGTCACGGCCACGCAGCGCGCGAGTTCGTCCTGAGATTCACTACAGGCGCTGACCGAGAGCAGCGCTCGTTGAGTGAGATGACGAACCTGGGTATGAAACGTGACATAAACCTCATAAACTAGTGATTAATTCTCGCGTAGTACATTGATAAATATTTTGTTTGTTAGGAGAGAGTCCTGTGAGTAGTTATGAGAGCGAGTGAGGAGCTACTTCAGCCGTTGTAGGCCTTCTGTTGAACTCCGTTAAGAGCATTGCTACATGCTAAAACGCTAAATCGTTGCTAGCTCGTTATGTGAAAATGCCTTTCATTGAGATACTTTTATTAAACCAGTCGGAGTTATATAACTGTCGCCTACTGTTTGAACCCACGGGGATATTTTTGTGTCATTGTGAACCGCGAGAACGGACCTTGAAAAGATCGCGAATAAAGTTAGCACGAAGCTAACGCTAATCGCGGTTAGCGTCGCTGAACTAGTTCAGCTCCGTGTAGCTTATGTGTAGTTGACTAAACTACCATGTTTTCTTGTACCGTGTTTTATTGCACTGAAGTTAAGTGATTCAAAAATGCAATTAAAAAAGTAGATAGTGCTTCATGAAGATAAATAACTGCACTGTTTTACAATGACAATCATTCCATGGTGAATGATTGTCATTGTAAAACATTTATATTGTATTGTAGTTTCACCTGAGCAACACTTTAGGCTGGGTGTCCTTTGGAATGGAACTGTAGTCTTGTTGTCAGGGAGGGGGTTGAATTATTTGGGAAGAGAAGTCAACATTATAGGTGGATGAACGTTGTGTCTCAAACAACCAACTCTATTTAGAGATGGTTTCTCCAACAGGTTGAAATCAAACTGTCAGACTACATTAAGTAAAAATTAATAACAAATATTGTTTTCGGTAAAGAGAAGAACAGTGCATTTCACCTCCTTCCTCTGAACCCTTCTGTCACTCGGACCGCACACCCCATCCACAGGAAGACGACTTTGGTGCTTTGCAAGAGTTTATTTTCTTTAACCGTCTCCTCTAGTTCATGCTAACGTAAGAAGGAAAATATAAACATTGTGTAATAACACAGTAAGTGTATAGTCGGTAATACTTCATGATATGACAGTAAAACTGTGATTTTTTTTTCAAGGTTCTACAAACTAAATACATTCACATATTTACAAACAAATACAGTTATGTTTACGTTTACACTGGTTGCTACGTTTCTGTGGTGACTAAGTGAAAACAGTGATGTCATGGTCAGAACACACACAGAGTATTGTTGAATGTGGCACCAAATGATCACAGATCTGAGACTCGGAGATTCCTTCTCTCTGGACTCCAACGCTGCTCGGCCTCAGAGGAGGACACACCCCCCACCTTTGGCTTCGACATAGTTTGGGTCCAGATCGTTGGGCAGTTTGCCCCCCTCCCCCCAGATATTGAGCTCCCCGAACACACCCGTCTCGATCATCTCTTCCTGCCACGGGATGGGAACGTTGCCAGAAGAGAAGTCGTCGTAGAACTCCATGTCCTTGTTGTCGATGACCACGCCTTTGATGGTGCTGAAGGCGCCCACGTCGCCGATGTCTTTGGCGTAGACCATCTTAGGATCAGGGACAAATGGTGGAGGGAGCATTCCTTTGGATCAGAGACAGACGTTTAGTCACTGAGGACAGTACAAAAGAGCGCCCCTTACAGGTGAGAACTAGAAAGGGTGCATGTGTTTAAACAACCAAAAGAGCGCCCCTTACAGGTGAGAACCAGGAAGGGTGCATGTGTTTAAACAACATGAAAGTCGTAAACATCAGAGGAGACAGAAGTTTAGACAAAAGAAGATTTGAACCAAGTCTCATGAAATACAACGAAAAATACCACAGAAACAGTCTAAGGAAGGACGGTCAGTAACCATGGGGATGGAACTGATGGTCACGCTGAGAATCATTGACGTTGTTTTTGCGGTGTCATTGAACACACCACCTTGGCCAGGTTTCGAACCCTCACCTGCCTCCAGACGACCCCAGTTAATCTCTTTGAAGAAGGGCTGACTCTTCAGCTCAGTGCAGTCGTTGTTCCTGAAGCCCAGACGTTTGGTGGGCTCCTTGGTCAGGAGACCCTCACAGATGTCCTTACAATCACTGCTGAACTTAGGAACGTAGGAGACCGGATCGTTGAGGATCCTCCGAGTCACCTCCTCATTCTCCACCTGAGAGGAGATGGAACATTTGATTACACCGAGTGATGACAGAGGAGGAGAACGAGGAGGAGGAGGAGGAGTGACTCTTCCCAGCCGTACCTTCTCTCCTCTGACTCTGAACGGTCCTTTGGCAGCGACCATCTCGTACAAGGTGACGCCCAGAGTGAAGTAGTCCACGGAGTAGTCGTACTCCTTCTTCTGGAGCAGCTCTGGAGCCATGAAACCTACAACAGTCCGGTGTCACAGTCCAACCCTCTGAGCACCAGCTGTGGAACGTTTGGTTCACAGTTTTTTATTTATGTACCTGGAGTTCCAGCGTACCCAGTGGTCTTGTCTTTTCCTGGTGGGAGTTCCACAGCCAGGCCCAAATCTGAGAGACGCACGTGCCCTGGAACGGCAAGGATCAAAGGTCAGCACATACTTAATACTTAATGGTACTTGAAGTTCTTATCTCTCTACTGTAGTGTTGTTTTATTAAACACTGATATCAAACATCCCAACCTACCCCCCCACCCTCCCACAAAACTCCACACAGGCGTGTGACGTACAGTATGTACGTATGTAATGTATATATATATGTTTATATATATATATTGTAAATCTACATGTATATATATATGTTTATATATATATTGTAAATCTTCATATCTTCATATCAACAGCCTAATTTGAACTTTGTCCTTTGAAGAGTCAGAACCAAACGTTCACCTGCATCGTCCAGCAGAACGTTCTCTGGCTTTAGGTCCCTGTAGATGATTCTGTGCTGGTGCAGGTGCTCCAGTCCACAGATGATCTGGGCCGTGTAGAACCGAGCTCTGGTCTCGTCAAAGCCAGGGTTTGTTTCGTCCACGTTGTACATGTGGAACCTGTGGGACGTCGACAGATGATTAGGACAAATACAAGTAACCGGCCGTTATCTCCACCGTAGACTACTGTGATCATTAGTGATAAGCTGGTGAACGGTCTGTGGAGAACCACGGACGGTTCAGGCCGTTGAGTTCAAGTCTCAGATTTAACTGAGTGTGTGTGTGAGTGGGTGTGTGTTCTGGTACTCATGGGGACATTTGTCCAGGTTTTTGGAGATTAAAGACTTAGTTCAGAGTTGGAATAAGATTAAGATTAGAAACTCACTGTGGTGGTGGTTACATGGTAGGTGTGAGTTTGGGAATATATTATGTCTTAGTACAGTAACACACCCAGTAACCCCGTGTGTGTACGTGTAACGCTGTTTAACTACATTTGTAGGGATGTTCTGTTCCTACAGGAACTCTGCAGATCTTTTTATAAAGGGTAACAGCATCAGACCTCCAGCAGAGGGCAGCAGAGATCACATCTGCTTACATGCTCTACACTAAGATCGGGCTCTGGGCAATGATTCAGATTTAACAGAGGTTTGTGATGTGTTGGGTTCAAAGTCAGCACCTGAGGTCTCCTCCGTTCATGATGGTCATCACCAGACACAGGTCAGTCTTGGTCTGGAACGCGTAGGACAGCGTCACGATGAAGCGACTGTGAACTTTAGCCAGAATCCTCTTCTCCACGATCGCACCCTTCACAGAGACGATAGTGAATCACAGTCAGTTCAGAGTAGCAGAACAGAGACCTCCTTAGAACCAGTCTGATGATCGGTACCAGGAGACTCAAACACGAAAGACAACTAGTCTAATAACACCAGTAACAAAGTTGACGTGTGACCCTCGACCCCTGATGTGGTCTGAAGGGTCACTGCCTTACGTCGTAGCCTCTGCGTTTCTTCAGCCTCTTCTTCTCCAGTTTCTTGTTGGCGTACATTTTGCCCGTTGCTTTTGCCTGGCATGCGAACACCTCCCCAAAACCCCCCTTCCCCAGGACCCTGAAGTCCATGAACCACTCCTCGTCCACAGGCTGGCCCTCCAACCACTTGAACTGGACGTAGCGCAGGAAGTACATGCTGCTCTTGAAGCCGTCTTTGGCCTTCTTCTCCAGGTGTTTGAGCAGCTGCTGCTCGCTCTCCTTAAACAGATCACCCGGAACGTTCTTGAAGTCTTCTTTGACCCGGGCGACGGCCTTCTCCTCCAGGAAGCTGCAGAAGTTCTTGGAGGCCGACTCGTAGTACTTATTCACCATCTTTTGGGCCTTCTGCGCTCGGTCCTTCTCCTGGGAGGTGACGTAGTCCTCGATGTCTTTCCACAGCTGCCCGGCGTTCATGTGGGCCGCTTCGCTCTCCAGATACTGCTGGAAGAGGCGTTTGCCGATTGGCTGTTTGACACACATGCTGTCGAAGACGGCGTCCACTGTGGTCTTCACGTGTTCACAGTCTCTGATGTGGGGCAGTTTGAGTCGCGCTCTCATCTTCTTGTCACGCATGGTGGCTGCTGCGCTTCCATCGACGCTGCCCCGCGCAGACACGTAGGCGGAGTTGGCCACCACTGTTTCCAGACCACCGATGTCCATGGCTTCACCGTGGAAACAAACAAAACTGAGAGAAAAACGAAAACATCAGTGACGATCCTCGAGTCACCTTCAACAGTACCTGGAACTCACTCAGATTACATCCATGTTCATCAGGTCTAATCGGTTCTAGGAACGTTTGGATGGGACGATCTCATCACCAGGATGACTTATTTCTAATCTGGCAGACACCGGTACAGTTTGGTACAGTTTGGTACAGTTTGGTACAGTTTGGTCAGGTTTCCTGGTTAGACTTAGGGTTCTGATTTCTGGGGACGATGGGGAGACTTTCACGGAACCCTCCCCCCCCACACCTCCTGACCCGTTTGGATCATTTGACTTGTTCTGCAGACACACAGTAAGTGGGACAGGAAGTGTCTCTCTGTCTTTAGGTGGAGAGTGACCGTGTTCTGTGCAGAGTTCCTGACCCTAATCCAATTTACACCGCGACTGACTGTTGACACCACAGCTTTACACCAGAGCCTACCGGTGATTGGCCTAGTTGTTAATTAACCCACATTCTCACACCGACAAACTGAGGGTCACCAAACTGAGGGTCACCAAACGGAGGGTCACCAAACTGAGGGTCACTGATGAACTGCAGTTTTTAACAACGTCTGTGTCATGTGACATGATCTTCAAACTGTAAATATTCTATTTCAGACGGTCACCGTCCCGCCTGGATACACCAACATGATGAGAGTACTACACGTACACATCAACAGTAGAAGTACAGCAGTAGTACTCACCCTCCAGTCCCGCTGCCGTGGAGCAGACGACGATTTAAAAGCAGTCAGTGGAATCAGACCAGTGTGGACCAACACGTGGTTCTGTCCCCCAGCTCCTGTGTTCTGTCAGGAACGCGGTACCGAGTGAAAGGTGGGAGCGTGGAGCCGCTCCTCGATCCTACTGCTGAGGATTACACGCAGTCACTTGGCAGAAGTTATTAGTGTAAGTCTGCAGCGGCGGTGATTACTGATGAGCAGAGCTGCAGCACTCCACCAGCCCACACTAATGAACAATTAACACTCTGACTCTCAGAGGCTAATGAAGCAACGCTGGTTTAACGGACAGAAAAGAATATTTGAACTGAATTTAGTTCAGAGCAGAAAAACCTAGTGGCTCTTTGGCCCCGGGTTTTTTAAATCTTAGCTTCGAACTCTCTGTGAATTTAGCTAGCTGTACTGGAGCGCTTTCTTAGCTAACGTGTACATTTCGTATGAAAAGATGACCAAATGTCAGGTTACGTTATGGATATAATTTTGTATAATGTCATGTTTTACAGTGTAGTTTGTTACATCAGGGGGCGGGGCTAAGAGTTAATCTGTTAAATACAGAACACACTGCACTGGAAGTCATGTGATTAACTGACAAAACAATAATTAGTCCAGTGGACTCAGTGATGTCATCAAACCCCGGTCAGAGACCAGCGGTCAGCGTCCACTGCAAACAGTGATTCACTGTAACAGTGTGTGAGACGACCTCTGACCCAGAGGAGGAAGAATTTCATCTTCAGGTCCAAGGTCGCCGACCCGCCCCTCGTCGGAGATGAAAATCCGGATGTAAATCCGACTTAGAAAGCGAGAGGTGAAGGAGATTTGATGGTGTGGTCTAATCCAGATCAGTGACGTCAGACCAGCCCACCCAACTAGAGGGAGATGTTAGTCCTCTGGATCTGGCCAGGGTCAAAGGTCAGGCCACAGACACACACACGTTCTTCACCCTCTGGTCTGCAGACCCTGACACTGACCGACTGTTCCACGTCAGCCTGACGATACTTCCTGTCTGCCATTAGAAAGTTCCAGAACTTCTTCCACCTTATCCCTGAACACAGGTTGGGTCGCGGGACACAACCCATAAAAAAGTCGCCATGTGGCCCATGTGGACCACTGCTGTTATTCGATGCTGCAGATGAAGACGAACGGATGATGAGACAGAGCCGTGTGCAGCGGAACACCGCCCTCTGCTGGAATGTGGCTGCTCGTACAACACCCGTCTGCAGCCCAGTACAGATCATGTGACCCAGGTATCGATCTGTCGTCATTCATCAATGTTCCAGTCGGACTGGATCGAATGGTCGATGTATCGATAGGATTCTGTGGGTTTGGTTTTTAAGACTTGTGGAAGTGAAACCGTTTTGAAGAAGTTTGAAGAAGCATTTTCATTGGCTGAAGATACATACGTCACACTTTCTCCAACTGTCAGGATGAGGCGTTTACTGGAATCTGTCCGAACGCTGTTTAAATTATAATTTGAAGAAGTGATCTACGTTATTCAAAGAACTGATGATTGAAAAAAGAAAATATATTTCTAGACGTTATACTCAAATGTAACCATATATAAATATATATGTGTGTGTTTGTTTATTTACTTTTCAACTGTATCGATGTTGATGCTGTGTTAGCGATGACTTTTAATCAAACTTAACTTGGGTAAATAAAATATAAATAAATCAAATCAGTTGTTTTATTTGTGTAACGAGTTTTATTTCCGTATTCATGAGGAGCAGCTGTGGCAGGAATCATTCTGACTCCACCGCGAAGTGAGGAAAACGAAGGTTCCGGTTCAAAAGACCGGAAATAGAGTTTCGGTGGCGTCCGTGAAGTGGTCTCGTCATGTCTGCCCCCTGTTGAAGCTCAGAAACAATAATTAGTCCAGTGGACTCAGTGATGTCATCAAACCCCAGTCAGAGACCAGCGGTCAGCGTCCACTGCAAACAGTGATTCACTGTAACAGTGTGTGAGACGACCTCTGACCCAGAGGAGGAAGAATTTCATCTTCAGGTCCAAGGTCGCCGACCCGCCCCTCGTCGGAGATGAAAATCCGGATGTAAATCCGACTTAGAAAGCGAGAGGTGAAGGAGATTTGATGGTGTGGTCTAATCCAGATCAGTGACGTCAGACCAGCCCACCCACGCAGAGGGAGATGTTAGTCCTCTGGATCTGGCCAGGGTCAAAGGTCAGGCCACAGACACACACACGTTCTTCACCCTCTGGTCTGCAGACCCTGACACTGACCGACTGTTCCACGTCAGCCTGACGATACTTCCTGTCTGCCATTAGAAAGTTCCAGAACTTCTTCCACCTTATCCCTGAACACAGGTTGGGTCGCGGGACACAACCCATAAAAAAGTCGCCATGTGGCCCATGTGGACCACTGCTGTTATTCGATGCTGCAGATGAAGACGAACGGATGATGAGACAGAGCCGTGTGCAGCGGAACACCGCCCTCTGCTGGAATGTGGCTGCTCGTACAACACCCGTCTGCAGCCCAGTACAGATCATGTGACCCAGGTATCGATCTGTCGTCATTCATCAATGTTCCAGTCGGACTGGATCGAATGGTCGATGTATCGATAGGATTCTGTGGGTTTGGTTTTTAAGACTTGTGGAAGTGAAACCGTTTTGAAGAAGTTTGAAGAAGCATTTTCATTGGCTGAAGATACATACGTCACACTTTCTCCAACTGTCAGGATGAGGCGTTTACTGGAATCTGTCCGAACGCTGTTTTAATTATTATAATTTGAAGAAGTGATCTACGTTATTCAAAGAACTGATGATTGAAAAAAGAAAATATATTTCTAGACGTTATACTCAAATGTAACCATATATAAATATATATGTGTGTGTTTGTTTATTTACTTTTCAACTGTATCGATGTTGATGCTGTGTTAGCGATGACTTTTAATCAAACTTAACTTGGGTAAATAAAATATAAATAAATCAAATCAGTTGTTTTATTTGTGTAACGAGTTTTATTTCCGTATTCATGAGGAGCAGCTGTGGCAGGAATCATTCTGACTCCACCGCGAAGTGAGGAAAACGAAGGTTCCGGTTCAAAAGACCGGAAATAGAGTTTCGGTGGCGTCCGTGAAGTGGTCTCGTCATGTCTGCCCTCTGTTGAAGCTCAGTGTCACAACACCGCTGTGTGGGAGCGGTGAGAGGAGAAGCAGGAGGAGGAGGAGGGGCAGGAGGTTCGTTGGATGAAGGTTAGGCCAGCGGAGAGAAGACTTCAGCCGCGATGGACTTCGTGCTCAGCGGCGTGGCGGCGTGCGGAGCGTGCGTGTTCACCAACCCGCTGGAGGTGGTGAAGACGCGGATGCAGCTTCAGGGGGAGCTCCGGAGCCGCGGCACCTACCAGGTCTACTACCGCAACGTCTTCCACGCGTTTTACACCATCGGTAAAGTGGACGGACTGGCCGGGTTACAGAAGGGACTGGTTCCGGGGCTGGTCTATCAGTTCTTAATGAACGGAGTCAGACTCGGTTCTTTCGCCATTATCGAATCGGCCGGTTACATCCACACGGACGGCAGGGTCAGCGCCGTCAAGACCACCGTAGCCGGGGCTGTGGCCGGTGTGGCGGGAGCGGTGATGGGCAGTCCGGTCTATCTGGTCAGTCAGCACCAAACAACAACAAACGGTTTTAATGAAAGTTACTTAGTCAACCACGTCATGTCATTAACTATTGATCCATCAGTAGACCAGTGGCTCTCAAACTGTGGTGCGTGTACCACTGATGGCCCGTGGTCCAGTCGTACAGTGGGGTTTCTAACTGGTCTGATCGGTTCTGTCCTGTATTAACCCTTCCAGTCGTCCTCAGCTGTTCGATGACATCATCTCTTCAACTCTTTAACTCATTCATCTCCAGTTCCTGACAAACATTAACCCCGGTCTCCTTCAGGTCAAGACTCATCTGCAGAGCCAGGCCGCCTCCACTATAGCAGTCGGACATCAGTACCAACACCAGGTACGGACCAGCACCAAGAACCAAGAACCAGAGTCCGTCCTCTGGTCCGGTCTGTTTAACTTCCCCCTCATGTCTCCCTCCTCCTCCTCTTCCTCCTCCTCCTCCTCCTCCTTCAGGGAATGATCCACGGTCTGGCAGCCATCTACAGGGAGCATGGAATTCTGGGACTGTGGAGGGGTTCCAGTGCTGCTGTGCCCAGGGTCAGCGTGGGGTCATCTGCTCAGCTCTGCACCTTCTCATCCTCCAAGGAGTTGGTCAACGATCTTCAGGTCAGAGTTCAGAACCTTCTCACCAGTCGGTCTCTCACACACACTATTTAAACGTCAGGAAACCTCAGAGGTCACAGAGGTCACAGAGGGCGCCCTGGTTGGACTCTGTGGTGATGCTGGACGTCTGTCGGTGACGGTGACAGAGTTCCAGGAACTGCTGCAGAAACCTGACACCTTTTCATTAGTCTGTGTAACAGTTATGTAACAGTTCCACCAGACCCTGAGGCTGAAGAACTTTCTGTTCCTTCTTTCTTAACCCTGACTTTCAGAGTCACTGACAACAGAAGAGTTAGTGGACAGATGGTGGCGCTGATGAACACATACCCACCGGGGCGGTGTATGAATCTGACCATACGATACGTATCACGATACGGGGGGGAGGGGGATTCCACGCTCGGGGCACCTCAGTGGTAACCTGGCAGCCGGTGGATTCAAACCTCAAACCTTCCGGACCCAGGTCCACTGCACCGTCGCTCTGACCAGATCAGACTGACTCCTGTGGGTTTGTTTCCCCAGGTTTTCCCCAAGGACAGCTGGCTGGTGGCGCTGAGCGCCGGCATGATGAGCAGCGTGGTGGTGGTGTTGGCCATGACGCCGTTCGACGTGATCAGCACGCGGCTCTACAACCAGCCGGTGGACGCGACGGGCAAGGTGAGGGCAGGGGTCCGCGAAGAGGGTGAGTCTGGACCGCACGACTGACGCTGACACTGCTGCTCTCTCACCACTAGGGGCAGCTCTATAAAGGCTTTGCCGAGTGTTTCTCCAAGACCCTGCGGAGGGAGGGCGTGACGGGACTCTACAAAGGTCTGGGGGCCTCGTATTTCCGCCTGGGCCCCCACACCATCCTGTCTCTGTTCTTCTGGGACGAACTGCGAAAAATGTCCCGTCAGTTCAGATAACAGCCAGGAACCTGAGCTCATCAGACGCCGACGAGTCGCCGTGTGATGGGTTTGAACTGAGGTGAGGAAGGGAAAGGTCAAAGGTGACACTGTCATGCACTCCAATAAGAAAATCTGTTACTTTGAGTCAACATGAGTCAGAAGAGGAGGAGGAAGGAGGAAGGAGGAAGGAGAACCGGTTCATGTCGGTAAAAACCTGCACAGACCTGGGACACAGAGACTGTGTGTGAGCTGTGGTGCTGAGGACACACCTGTGTGTGTGTGTGTGTGTGTGTGTTCATGGGTGAGGAAATGAAGGATCACTGGGTAAACAAAGAGTTAAAGTGAAGGCATCTTAAAGCTGCCCTGTGATTGGCTGATACACATGAGAGTGGAACCAGTTTTTATTCAGTAATGTTTGGATGAAGGAGGTAAATAGGTTCAGTTGACCACAAGGGGGCGACTGCAGTTGAGATGAAGTTTGTTTTCCGGACGTCAGTTGGACACAGGATGGTCTTAGATTAAGAACCTAAGATCGACCAATAGGAGGCCGGCTCCTGGAGGAACACAGGACTGACCTGACTGTTGTTCTTATGTTGTTTTTGTACTTTTTTTCTTTTTCCTTTTTTTTATACAGATGCAGTAATTTAATAATAATTAAAACTAATTGACGTTGGTGCAGAACTGAGTGCCATTTTTAAAAAATGAAAAAAAAAAGGAAATAAAATATAAATATATTTGCACAAATTATTTAAAAATGCATTAAATGAAATTGCAGTGAGAAGTTAGAGTTGAAGGAAAATATTTAAAATAAAAATGTTTTGCAGGTCATGACAAAAGTGTTTTTATTACAGTATACCATGTACTGCAGTAAAACTCCTGGTGGAAGTATTTCAATATTTTTGCCGAACTTTGTGCTTAATTTTCTGTTTGTGATGAAGAAACATTTAGTTTGTTCTTCTTCACCAACGTTTCTAACTGGATTTACTGGTGGTTTAGCTGAAAAGTGACTCGTTGTTGTCCTTAGATATTTCCAGTATCGTCACATGACACCAGTGCTAACAAACGACTGTGAGACGATGATTCTGATGCTGCAGTTTGAACGTGTGTGTTACCGTGAACTGTTACTGATGTCACACCACTGTTACCTTCACTGTCAGTGAAAAAAAAACATGTTTTACTCGTGTGTGTGTGAAAACACACATTTCCTCAATCAGGTTTTTTTTACATGAAAGGAAATAAAACACTTTTTGTGAAGGTGAACGAGGTTTTTGTCCTGAATGTTAGTACAGACAGAACACACACATCACATCCTTCATTAGGTGAAAGAACTGGATTAAAATGGGACAGGATTCTGTTTTACTTGGTTTGAAAAAATACCAATAATATATATATATATATATATATATACATAAATAACTGTAGCCGTAATTGAAAACATTATCCAACACGGAGGGACATTTTGATTCGCAGCACTCCACCTGTAAAGTCCTTTGGCGCCCTCCAGAGGAGGTTTAAAGAACTCTAATGTGAATCAGTTTCATCTTCTGTAGGAAAATTAAATTATCACCATGTTCATATCAAAGCTAGCTCGATAAAAAAAAGACGCGTTTAAAGTCTCTCCAGTATAAAAGTCTAACAAGCTACGTCACCGCTGACGTCAGTTACCTTCAACTACTCGCTGTCGTTGTTTCAGGAATGCAGTAAAAAGTGACGGACAATTATTTCCAAGAAGAGAAGGTGAGAGCGGTGTTTCCACACGGACATATTTGAGTGTGAAACACCAGAGCAGGAGGAGGAGGAGGAGGAGGAAAAAGAGGAGGAGGAGGAGGAGGAGTCCCGGTTGGAGCAGATCCAGAGTCAGATGACCATCATCATTTCCATCCCTGTATTTAACGCTTTTTTAACTATATGTTTTTTATTTTCCACCTGACAGTTTGTTCGATGCAGAGTTTTCACTTCCGCTCCTGGTCCTGACGTCACTGCATCAAACCGCACGTACGTAATAAAACGAGCACACATGCATTGGTGTGTTTCTGCTGATGCTAAGGTCATGGAAGCTAACGGGAATGATGAGCTGCTGCACGGCTGACACTGTTGGTGTGAACGTGGCGGGATTTCATTTTGGGTCGTGGGAATCTACCACGTCAAAACGTCCTTTAAGATATCTGAGAAGAGTCTTGAAGTGAGGTGACTTAAAGACATCTTGAACTTGAGTTGTGATTGGTCAGAATCAAACTGTGGATCTCTGAAACCAGAACGACAGATGTCTGTATTTTCAACTTTGATCAGTTTTTTGTCGTTTGTTTTCTGTCTTTGTCGATGACAGTGACCAACCTTTTCACTTCAGCGTCCGACAGATACACTGACCGACCATCGTCTCTTCTTCTTCTTCTTCTTCCCCTCATCTTCTCTTTGAGTAGTGTCAACAGTGTGTGGCCCACATGGGCAGCGTCCTGGCTTTATCCTCCGGTCCGGGCCATCGGAACTGGCCCTTCTCCACGGACCCCCCTCCGTCTCGCTGGGACGCTCATCCTGCCTACTGGGACAGTCCCCCGCGCTGGGAGAGGAGGGACGGACGTCTGCCCAACCCCGGCAGCTTTCACTCCCTGCACAGGAGCTGCAAAGGTTCAGTAGAGTCCGCCGAGCTGTGATTGGCTGTAGTTTGTACGCAGGTGGATGGTCGACGACGGTGTGTTTTCTCTCTGTCCTCAGATGTTTTCCCGCAGCAGATCGAAGGCGTCAAGATGATCCTCAACAAAACCCTCAGCAGCTTCTTCAAGGTTGGTAATCTGGATTATTCCCAGCAGACGTCCACTCTCCGCAGCTTCTAACCCCTGACGTTCTATTGTGTCTCCAGGTCAGTCACACGCTGCACCTCAGCGCGGTCAGTCCGTCCTACTACCGTTTCCACGTGGAGCATCTGCAGTCCGACGACGACGGCAAAGACAAGGTGAGGCGGGAGTACCACAAATATTCTCCACTACTGCGTCATCACATACCATTACTGTGTACTGTATTTCTGAAATACTTTGAGGTGAAGTACTCAGCTGGACTTGACTTGTCAGGACGCCCCGGCGTTGATCGGTGAGATGGACTCCTCGGGAAGTCTGAACGCTCACGCTCTGCTGCACGTGACGGAGCGGGTACGAGCCAGGACGGTCTTCCAGGTGAGGAGGAACTCCTGCGCCTCCTTTTTAGCCACGTCTTTGTCTCTGGACGTTTTATAATCTGACAAAATCTGGAAATAGTATGATAGTCCCGCCCCCTGACACTGATAGGTCCACCCAGACGGCCGTGCCTGAACACAGATGCTAATTAGCACAGTGCTAACTGAACTGCACTTACACTGTACCAACACTAGGGGGAGACAGTGAGGCCGTACAAAAGAAACCGCTGCCAACAATGTCACTGTTCTGATTGGCTGGTTAACATTTAAAGCCACAGAGCAGGGCTGGTACCAGGTGAGGGACCAGCTGAGATCGCTGGTCCAGACCTCAGGTACCAGAGCACTTCCTGTCCCGGCGTCACTGTCTCTCTCTGCTCGTGTCTCAGACTCAACAGTCTCAGTTCGTCACCTGGCAGTTTGAGACGGAGTACAGAGGAAACGACTTCACCGCCGCCGTCACAGTCGCCAACCCCGACGTCCTCCGAGAGTCAGGTGACACACGACCGCCATCAGATCGCCAACGAAACCTGATTGGTGTTTGTGTAAAAATCTACATCTGTGTGTGTGTGTGTGTGTGTGTGTGTGTGTGTGCGCTGCAGTTATCCTTGTGGCCCACTTCCTCCAGAGCGTGTCGTCTGGGCTGGTCCTCGGCGGGGAGCTGGTCTACCATCGAGGCCGAGCAGAGGAGGGCGGGATCCTCACCCTGGCGGGACAGTACTCTGGTCTGGACTCTGATTTGACAAGCGTTCTTATTTTTCGGCCAATGGCGCGGCAGCATTTGACTCCTTTCATCTGCGCAGGTCCAAACTGGACGGCAACACTGAACGCTGGGAAAGGGGGCGCTCACGCCAGCTACTACCACAGAGCCAACAAACAGGTACGATCTGATTGGACGAGGCCCAGACCCTGTCCGACGGAACGTCAAAGTACTTCAGGGCTGTCGCGGTCAGATCGGGGGCTGAATATAATTACTCTGCGGGCCAGATGTGGCCCCCGAGCCTGAGTTTGACTGGTGTCGGTGTTCTCCACAGATCCAAGTGGGAGTGGAGTTTGAAGCCAGCACCAGGACCCAGGAGACCACCACCTCCTTTGGGTACCAGATGGAGCTCCCAGAGGCCAACATGGTGTTCAGAGGTG